TTAATTATAATGTCCCTTTATTGTCATTTTAGCATTTATAGTATTTGTTTTGCTATCCCCTTTCATTCCCAATTTTAATAACTTTTGTTCTCTTTTTAATTCATCACTCTACCTAGAGATTTATTAATTAATTGATATTTCCAAGCTTGCTTCTTTTCTTTTCTTCTACTTATTTTCTATTGCTCATTATTTCATTTTTTCTACTTTCTTAGGTTTAATTTCTCTCCCTCATTTAGCTTCTTAAGACATAAAATGATATTGTTAATTTCTGTTTTTCTGTTCTAATGTAAACATTTTAAGCTTTAAGTTTCCTGCTATTTTTGCCATATTCTACAAATTTCAATATACTGCATCCCTTCATTATTGAGAAACATAACTGACATATAATATTTGTAAGATTAAGGTACACAATGTAATGATTTGATACACATATATATTGTGAAATGTTTACCATGATAAGGTTAGTTAACACATCTGTTGCCTTGCATAATTACCATTTTGTTGTTGGTGGTGATTATGATGCAGTTATTAAATCTCTACCTTCATGGCAACTTTCAAATATATATACAATTCAGTATTATGACCTATAGTCACCATACTGTGTGAGGTTCCCAAAATGCAATCACATTATAACTGAGAGTTTACACCCTCTGATCAACATCTCCCTACTGTCCTCACCCCCAGCCCCTGGCAACCACCATTTCTGAGTCCACTGATTTTAAATTTCAAATGTGACATCACACAGTATCTGTCTTTCTCTCTCTGACTCACTTCACTTAGCACGATGCCCTCGAGGTCCATCCATGTTGTCTCCAAGGGCAGGGTTTCCTTCTTTTTTTTTGCGGCTGAATAATATATATCACATTTTCTGTACCCATTTATCTGTTGACGGACCTTTGGTTGTTTCCGGTTCTTGGCTATTGTGAATAACGCTGCAAGGAACCAACAAGAAGTGCAGGTAGTGCTTCAAAACAGTGACTTCATTTTCTTCAGAGGTATTCCTAGAAAGAAGGGAGACTGCTGGATCATGTGATAGTTCTACTTCAACTCTCTGAAGATCCTGACACTGTTTTCATGGGAGCTGTACCAGTGTACATCCTCACCAATAGTGTGCAAAGGTCCACATCTTCACCAGCAACTGCTGTTGTCTTTCTGATAATGGCCATCTGACAAATATGAGATGGTATCTCATTACGGTTTGGATTTGCATTTCCCTAGTAATTAGTGATGCTGAGGACCTTTTCATGGACTACTTGTTGGCCATTTGTATGTCTTTTTTGGAAAAATATCAATCCACAGTCTCTGCCAATTTTTAATAAGGTTTGGCTTTCTGTTTTGTTTTGTTTTGCTGTGGAGTTGTATGAGTTGCATACCTATTTTGGATATCAATCCTTTATCAGATATATAGCTTACAAGTATTTTCTCCCCAACTCAAGAGGCTTGTTAAGCTAATGGCTATAAGAGAATCTTAAATAGGGAAGTGACGTGACCATCACAGTGATTTTATAATGATTTGTCTAATGGTGTTGCCTAACACTGACTGGAAGCAGAGGACGCAAAGGGTTTGAGCCATTTGCACCCCAACTGTGATTAAAGATTTGGACTTGGATGGAGTAGTGGAAATGGCAAAAGTATAAAAGAGCTTTTGAAACACATCAAAAGTGTTTTAATGTGTGGTTGATAGAAAAAGAAGAATCAAAGATGTTTTCAGTGTGTAAGTGTGTTGCAATATGACACAGTCATTAACAAAAATAAAGAAGTGGAGAAAGGAAGTTGGATTGAGTTTGGGGAAAATGGTAAGTAAATGTGGTTTGAAGCATAATGCAACTGGGTTGACATCATGTCACCTTGTTGTAAAATACCAGCCAACTCATGAAAATGAAGAATGAAAATTCAGGTTAGAGAATAGAAGTGGAAATAGATGTGTGCTCATCCAAAGAGAAGCTAGTCTGGGAAAGGTAAATTTGGAATTGGGTTATAAAGGTAGGGACGAAGGCAAGGCTGGATGGAGGCCATAGCTCTAGGAGGAGTGAGTAGATAAGAGGTAATGAGGATGGCTGGAATGGACCAGAATTTTTTCCTTCCTAGTACCTTCTTTCTTCTGAGAACCACCACCTACTTCTGCAGGTAACTGCTCCTCCTTGGCTCCATCTAAGATGTTTACCATAATCCTGCCTGCACCGTATTTGATGGCTCGGTTCCAGGTCTTAATGCAAGAAAAAATGTATAAGACATAAAATCCAAAAGCTTGTCATGGCTATGTTTCTCATCCTAGTTCCTCTCACAAACAGAAATGAGCATAGATTGAGAAAAATATTGCAAAACCAAGCCTCATTTGGCTCCTGATGTTCCAGAGGTCCAGCTACATCCTTGCCCTGCTTTGGTTTCACTGTAAAACACCTTATTGTATTTCATGAGTCAGTACATACCACTCTTGCCTACGTTTGGTTGTGGGGAAGTTCTCACACCTGAAACCAGAAGATCTATAATATAATGGGTGGGCCAAAATCTGTAAATGGAACCAGTAAGCCCCGGAGCAGATACAAAGATGGTAGAAACATTTCACTCAGCTGTGGACAGCCTTATAGGCACTCAAATATCACCTCCCCCGGGGAGCCCACTAGTCATTTCAATAACCAAGCAAGTAGGGAATCTTGGGACTGATGCGGTGTCTGTGTTCCTTTTGTTCATCTCAGTGTTGCTTAGTGTATGCATGGAGTACAACACACCCTCCAGTTCACCCTGCCAAGCCCTGGCTTTTCTGTGTTTCTGGACATTCAGGCATGTGTGGCACACAGCTTGCGTTGCCACATCCATGAATCTCCCAGCGCAGAGGGCTTCCTGATGAATGATGCAATGAGCAGACCTCAGAGCCCTGCCGTTGCAAAATGCCATCCTGGCAGTTTTCAGCTCACGAAGAAGTCTAACTTTAACAAGTCCCGTCACAGAAGTTCTGGCTGGTCACGCCTAGGAATTTGGCTTTTCTAGAGGAAAATGTCAAAGCTTTTCTTAGCACACAGGTACAGGTCATTTCTCGATGTTGTAAATATCACAGGTACCATTTTAATCATTCAAAGTTGAGATGGGACCTGATAGATATCCAAAGAGTTGAATCCTAGAGGACTTGATAAGGGAAGCTGGGCCAGGGAGGGAACAGGGTTGTTTCCCTCTCATTCTGTTTTGCCGGGCTAGAGGCAACCTAGCAGGAAGTCTTACTGCTAAGCCAATTTTCCCTCTGCCTTGTGCTGTGGCGCTGGACAGAAATGGAGTTGTGTCCTCATTATTCCTCTGCAGCACAGCTTGTAACTGACTCGCTAAGCCACTGCTCAAAGTGCAACTGTGACAGTTGTCCTGGAGTCTCTGCTTCCCACAGCCACCCCTCACCTATAGGCCCTGACTCTTCAGGTGAGTGTATGTCACCAAGTTCCATGAGGGGGTCCTTTTAGTGACTCCTTATTCTGTTCGCTCTGTGAATTCTGGCTTGTCACATGGTCCGAGTGGTGATCTACTTTAAAATAACACAGTACTAGTAACATATAAATGAATAAAAATTAACTCTATGAACTAGGGGCTGGTTAGTTGTCACAGAAGTACTATCATCACAATCCTTTCTTCAGGGTGGTTATTTAAAATGTGAAGTTTTCTCATCAGAACTCGACTCCTTCAGAGATGGTTTAGCCCTTAAATTATCCTTACTGAAAACTACAACAGCAAATTTATTAATTAGTATAAGAAATTTTGCAAAAAAATGTTAATTGATTAGAAATATTTTGTGGGCCCTGCTACCCTCTCTCCCATAAATAATGAAACCCAACAAGTCTAGAAGCCCGTTGCGGCGCTGCCATGTCTGAGCCCCGTGGATGTGCTGGAGTCACAGAGGTGGAGAGATGCTTAGCCCCACCTCCAGGGCTTCCTAGCGTCCAGCAGGGGAAGCACACAAAAGCATCATCATGCAATAAGCGCTCTCAAGGAAAAAGGACATGATATAATGAGACCATAAATAAAGGGCACCTCAAGCCAGCTGGAGCAGGGAAGGAGAATCAGTAGACGCATTTTCCTGAAAGAAGTGGCATTTAGCCTAAGACCCAAGGGATGAATCAGAATTATCTAGTTAAGCAAGTATACAGGTGTATGGGTGTGCTTGGGCAAAGGGAGAGGGTTCTATTGGTGCTTTGCTCCTACTATATGCTCCAAAAACATACTTTTTCCCCACCCCTATGTTCAATATGATTCTATTTCTAAATGAATCAATGTCCATTTTTTCTACCTACCTAGTCATCTTGGAAGAATATACACCCAGAGGTGTTAACAATGACCACAGTTAAATGTGTGAACTTATATGAATGTCTCATTTTTTCGAGTTTCTTTACCAATATATTCTAATGAATCTATGTAGCTTTTTAAGGGAAAATGTAATAAAAGGAAAACTTCAAATTTAAAAGGCAATAAACACTCTTTGATAATAAGACTTGAGCATTGTTTGCCCTCCCTTTGTCCCCTGTACCCAGCAGAGCACCATGTTCAAAAAATACTGAGGAGTCATCATCATCACAGGGCACACCATCCTGTATGGACTGGGTGAGGGACTGGGGCCAGAAGGGACTGAGCAAAGCTGTATGACAGGCAGTGAGTCTACAGAATGGGGCACATGAGGACTTGCTCACTAATATTTGTGATTTCAGATTTGCAAAAAGGTGGCAAAGAGAGTAGAAATAATTTCCAGATACGGTTCATGCAGGTTCCCTATTTGTTTAAGAGTTTACTACATTTCCTTCCCACTGTATTTCAATGGCATTCAGATACAGAGAAAGGATTAATCTGCATTGAGGTATTTTGTCTTCCACATTCTCCTAAAAATGGTCCTCTGTATTGGAACTGCTCTGGCAGGAACCTTCCTCTTGCAAAAGCTGTCAGTTCCCTTCCCCTCTTTGCCCCACCCTCTCTCTTTGCCAAGAACACTGAACAGGAAGAAGGGTTCTCCTGGGGATGCTGCCAAGACAGACAGACTGTGAAGAAGGAAGGACATTGCCTGAGCAGAAGGAATGTATTCTCAGGAAAAGGGACCTCTGCCCACTGTGCCAGGAATAACACCACCGGGAAGATCCCTACCTGCCAACAAGCTCAGCCTCCCAGGAGGGGAACACGTAAGTCCACCGGTCTGTTCTCTGCACAGATGGTTGGCTCTTCCCCAGCATCAAGACCTTCAAAGACACCCATCCTATCTGTCAGCTCCCAGCACAGTCCTTAAGACTAAGGCTTCTGACAGCTGAAGTCAGTGTGGCCAAGACAACTAAGGAAGGTGCTAAGGAACAGGAATCATTTCAAGGCTAAGGGTTTTCAAAGTCCAGGAAAGGATTTACTTTATTAGACAGAACTTAGTAGCCACAGAAGGGGACAGGGCTGAGGCCCAGAGCTAAAGGATGGGTGAAGGAGAGATGCCATGCCAAGTTCCAAGGCTCCCAACCAGCACAAATCCTACCCATCTTCGGGGCCTGTGTTGTATCTCCTCCTGGCACCTGTCGATGTCACGCCTGTCTCCCAAGTCTCCTTCCCAAGGGTGCCTGAGGAAGATGCTGGCAGGTATCCTGGTGGAAAGAGTTCTCGTCCCCAGACACTGATCGTGGCACTGTGCTCCAATCCCCATAGGCCTCCTCAGCTCCTTCATCATGAACTGGCACATGACCATCTCTGTGCTCATCGTGGTGGCGCTTAAAGTTGCCGGAATGACCTTATTTCTGCTTTATTGTGAGTATTTGAGCAACCTCTTACTCCAGCTCCATGCTGTCTTGTTCTTTGTTCTTTTCTCTGAAGGTGAGATGAAGTGCCCAAGTCCTTCCACCTGTGAGCAATGGACATGACCCTTCTCACTTCTCCAAGTGACAAGGGGCCAGGTTCCTTGGTCTACCTTAGACATGCAGAACCTCCCCCCCCCCCCACACACACACAGAGCTTTTGCCCTGGAGTACGAGTTGGCTAATCTGAGCTGAAATACTCAGCCGTGCTTGTTGTTGTTGCTAAAATGTGAAAATTCAGCCACCGTTCATCCTGATGATAGGCTGTACTAAAAGCAGTAATCTAAGATAAAGGATTTCACAGAGGCAGAAATTTTCTTCTGTGTGCATAGAAGCTTATTCGTCCAAAGCTTAGAAAGAAAAGCCTCATATTGAGGGATTTTGCTGTGATTGCAGCAGGTAGAATCTTCTCCAGGAGGGAAAATAAATGAGGGAGGGAATGTGGTTAGAAGGCATGGTAAGAGCTGGCTTCCTGATGGCCCAGCCTGAAGGTGCCATTCCTGTCACAGCAAAGAGCAGGACGAAAATACAATTAGGAATGAATAAACATAGCCACAGAAATATGTACATATGTTTACCTACCTCAGAGTCAAAAAGTTCAAAATTTTCCATGAGTAGTCAGTGCCTAGCAGCCCTTATGGGGGATGTTTGTTATACTCACCCTGCAGATGGGCCTGAGCCAACAGCTGGGGTTTTTTGCAGCCCCATGGATTTTTGGTGAAAGTAATGACAGCTTCAGCCCCACAAGGAGCTATGGAACAAGTAACGTGCGGACAACAATCTCCTCTCTACCAGGTTCTTAGGTGCTGGATTCCTAAAGACCTCACTCGAGGACTTTTCCCAAGGATTTATTTGTCAGGAAGTGTTCATAAAAATATCCTAATTTATAAGATATATAAGCTCTAGGGATGCCCATCTAAGGTACAGCAACCTGAGAACCTTGCTGACTACAGTTAACAATACTGTATTCGATGCCTGGAAGTTGCTAAAAGAGTAGATCTTAAATGTTCTTACTACCGTGAAAAGGGGGCAACTATTTGAAGTGATGAAGGTGTTCACTTATCTCATTGTGGTAATAAATTTTGCAATGCATACATGCATCAAATTATCACACTGTATGCCTGAAATTTACACAATGTTCTATGTCAGTTATAGTTCTACGAAACTGAAAAATAAAATAAAATAAGTGCAGCACACCCAGAAAACAATCTTCTAATTCGTTCCCTTCCTTTTATACTTGGGAATCCTAGACTAGACTGAGTGAAATGTCCGATCCTCCATTTCCCTCCTGGGCATGAGGAGGATTTGGATGGAATCACTGCAATGTAATGGGAAAGCTCTTAATAAACTCCAACACGTTGTGCCCCTAAAGGAATTATTACAGGACTTCCACCAAGATGGAGGCATAGGTGGAAACACCTTGCCTCCCCGCACAACCAAATTTAAAAACAATAAAGTTTTAACAACAATAAACGCAACCACACAGAAAATCGACAATACGGAGTCAGAAAACAACGAAATGCTCAGCTAAACCTGTAAGAGGGGTGAAGCCAGCAGCGGAGCAGGTTGGCCAAAAAGATCCCCAACCGGGGTGGTGTGCAAGCAGCGGAAGGCAAGGATCCCAGGTGCGGGCTAGCTACAGGCGGACACAGGGAAGAGGCATGGCTGGCTATCTGCGGTCAGTTGAGCATTTGCGTGCAGATAAACCAGTGAAGAGCTGAGCATTGAGACTGCAAGGCGCAGGGCTGTGGGTTTGCACATTTCCGCTCAGATAAACAGGTGGAGGCGAGCGGTGGGACGGACTGGGCAAGCAGAGAGGACCGCCATTGCTCCCTCTCTGACCCCGCCCCCACACATAGAGTCACAAACCAGCGACCTGGGTAGCCCCACCCTGGTAAACAACTAAGGCTCCACTCCTCATACATAACAGGCACAAACAGATAAAAACATGGCTCAAGAACAACTCAGAGCCCCAGAACCCGTAAATCTAAGTGATGAAGAAATAGCTAAACTTTCAGATGCACAGTTCAAAACACTGGTGATCAGGATGCTCACAGAACTGGTTGATTTTAGTCACAAATTAGAGGAACATATGAAAGCTAAACTAATCAAAATGAATAGTAATGCACAGGAAACCAATAGTAATGGAAAGGAGACTGGGACTCAAATCAAGGGAGTAGACCAGAAGGAAGGGAAAAATGACCAAACAGAAAAGAATAAAGAAAAAAGAATTCAAGAAAATGAGGAGAGGCTTAGGAACCTCCAGGACATCTTTAAACGTTCCAACATCAGAATTATAGGGGTACCAAAAGGGGAAGAGGAACAGCCACCAGTGGAAAACTTATTTGAACAAATAATAAAAGAGAACGTCCCCATTCTGGCAAAGGAAATAGACTTCTAGGAAATCCAGGAAGCTCAGAGAGTCCCAAAGAAGGTGGACCCAAGAAGGAACACACCAAGGCACATCATCATTACATTAGCCAAGATTAAAATGAAGGAGAGAATCCTAGAAGCAGCAAGAGATAAGGGGACTGTCACCTACAAAGGAGTTCCCATCACACTGTCAGCAGATTTCTCAAAAGAGACCTTACAGGCAAGAAGGGGCTGGAAAGAGGTATTCCAAGTCATGAAAACCAAAGACCTACAACCAAGATTGCTCTACCCAGCAAAGTTTTCATTTAGAATAGAAGGACAGATAAAGTGCTTCTCAGATAAGATCAAATTCAAGGAGTTCATCATCACCAAGCCCTTATTATATGAAATGTTAAAGAGACTTACCTGAGAAAAAGAAGATAAAATAGATGAACAGTGAAAGGACAGCAAACTCACAGTTATCAACAACCACACCTAAAACAAAAGCAAATTAAGAAGACAGCTGGATCAGGAGTGAACCATAGAAATGAAGATCACATGGAGGATTAGCAACAGGGGAGTGGGAGAAGGAGAAGGGGGGAGAAGGTACAGAAAATAAGTAGCATAATTGGTAGGTAGAAAATAGATAGGGGGAGGGTAAGAATAGTAGGGGAAATACAGAATCTAAAGAACTCGAGACACGTGTTCATGAACTAAAGGGGGGGGAATGGTGGGGAGGGTTGTGCAGGGTGGAGGAGAACTGGGGGGAAATAGAACAAATGTAATGGCATAATCAATGAGAAAAAAAAAGGAATTATTACAAAGAAGCCCATTCCCCTGGGGGAAAAATGTATTCAGCATCTCCGTGTGTGCCGAGCACTAGAGCAGACAAGCCATAGAAGAAGAATAACAACAGGGGACACTGGTTGACTATAAAGTACAGGGTGCGATGGCAGAGCTTTGGGGGTGAGGAGATGGGAGGCACAGCTCTTCCCACTAAACCCACCTCCTCCTGAACCTTTCCCGAGGATCTCCTCAATTCCTCTGAAGACACTTCCTACTATGTACATCTTTAGGAGAAGGATAATCTCTTGTTTGTCTTTGTACCAACCGTGGCTCTCAGTGGCCTGAGCTATGTGGCAGAGATGCTCATGAAGTATTTATGGAGTGGTGTTCAGTTTCTGGTGAAAACCAGGTTATCCCACACCTATCACAAAGAGCCTCTGAACTGGAGACTGAGATAAAAGGAGAGTACAAACTTGTCTGTTTTATTAATATAATTGTAAGCAGCTAATGTGGTATCTGGGTGAACTAAAGGCATCTTCCACCATAATTAGGCCACTGAGGATGTGTTTGGTCACCCCCAGAGCCACTGCGCCTGCTTGCTCCAACAGCCAGCATCCGGGACAAATGAGGCCTCTTGGAATCTAAAGACTTCCTTATTTCTATTCAAAGAAATATTTCACTCCTTTCTGCCCATAGGAATGTTCACCTGCCTTCTTGTCTGCCAATGGCCAGCCCCTGATCTTGAATCTTGTTCTAGTTAGCCATAGTCCTTATTGCTGAGCACTGCTCAGAGAAGGGCCTGAAAGAAGGGCCAAGATGATGCATTTTCATACAGGGTTCGAGGCACCAGGCCTGGGGAGAGCAGCGAAGATGCTGTGTGGTGCCTGCAGGGGAAGTGGCCCAAATAGCCCTTTGGGGAAAATACTGTCAGAGGTGGACAGGAGAAGGGAGGGAGAGATTTCCTTCTGATACTAAATTCATCCATTCCTCTTCCTTTCTCCTGTTCTTTCTCTCAGCATTTTACACCTATTGCCACACCTAAATACAAACAAACAATAAGACATGAACTAGAATTTGGGGTGTGGGGCATGACAAATAATGGTAGTAGTTAGATGGAAGTTTCCAAGGAAGAAAATCTCTGAAAAATTCTAGCACAGAGTGGCCGAGAGCCTCCTGTCACCTCCACTGTCCAGAGACAATAGTCACAGGGACTGAACAGCTGATGTCTGATGTCTGTGTGTTGCATTCATCACATGCCTACCTTCAGGTTTTCTTCTCATTTCAGTCCCACAGATTTTTGGGAACAGTAACATCAGCTTCACTCCCACAGAGAGCTCTGGAGCAGGTAAAGAGCAGAGTTACTACCTCCTCTCCACCCCCAGGTTCTCAGGTACTGACTTTTTTTTTAATCCTCTCCCAAGGATATGTTCTTACTGATTTTAGAGAGACAGGGAAAGGAGGGGATAAAACGGAGAAGGGGAAGGGTAGGGAGAGGGGGAGAGAGAGAGAAACATCAATTAGTTGCCCCCCCCATATGTGCCCTGATCGGGGATGGAACCCACAACCTTTTGGTGTATGGGACGACCCTCCAACCAACTGAGTCACCTGGTCCCAGCTCATGTCCAGAGTTCTTAAAAACTTTTTCCAATGCCCCCTTTCTCATGAAACATTTTTGCTCAAAGGGATGGAAAAAGACCTTCTAATTCATTCCCTTCATGTTATAGACAGGGAAATTGAGACTCAACTAGATAAAACTTGTTCCTAGGTTGAGGCTGATTTGCATGAACATAATCATAAACAAACCCATGTCCCTGTGTCCTCTGACTCGGTTCCAGGGCTCACACCTTCGACCACTAATCTCATACTCTCTTCCCTTAAATTTCCTTAGTCTGCCCCAGGAGGTGGGATTTTCATCAAGGAAGATGTTTTTTCTTGTCCACGTCTGAAATGTCCTGGGATGAAAGTAGGGCCATTTGTGAAGAAGAAGGATCGACTTTGGCCATTGTCAACACACCAGAGAAACTGGTGAGAGTACTAGGGGGCACATAAAGCAGCCTACCTATTGCCAGCGTCAGGGGCAGGAGGTGGTAGCAACCTGACTGGCGGAGCAGGGGCACACTGGGGGTGAAGGGTGGAGAGGTGGCTGGCTGGGAGCTCGAGCTCCTTGTCCTCAACAGGGAGATGGGAGACCCTTCTCGGTAGCTCTGAGATGTGCTCCTCGAACTACTTGAGCTCATGAAACCCACCCTCTGTGGTTTCTCCCGGGGGGGCACAAGAACAGACTAGTATCCTGGGAATGGACCAGAATACTTGAAGTGCAAGGAATGGCCAAATGAGCTAATGTGTATAAAAGTTGTTTAAGAATTATGGAAGACCTGCAAAGATATGAGCTGTTAATTAATGTATCATCACAGTTTGCCTCGTAATATGGAAGCTGCAAATTAACAAAATGAGTGATATAAGAAACACAAAGAATTAGGTCATAGAATTGGAATTTCAGTTTCCAATTACGATGAAAATAGCTAACACTATGCAAAAATATTTGTTTTATTATCTCCTTTATTGTCAGAACAATTCTGAGGAGATATTATTATCCATAATTTATATATGAGAAAACTAGGGCACAGAGGAATATTTTGACCAAGGTCATACACCTACCAAGTGTATGGACTTGAGAGCTCTCTAACTCCAAAACCTACACTCTATTCAATTTTAGACCATAATACATTTTAGTTTATAATAGCCTCTCCTGCAAATCCTAGGCATTCGTAGACAGTTAGACACTGTGCTGCATACAGTAATCTTGCTTCCCTCCCCTTTGTCCCTTCACCCTTTTTAGAATTTCTATGAGGATCTTCTGTGAATCTTGGATGTAGCCATCCAACAAACAGTGATAGATCTTCTAAGGCTAAGGACCCCTGTGGGAAGAAAAAATACTTTATGGTAGAACACCAGGAGCAAAAGAGTGGGGAGAAAAAAGAAGAGAAGCAAGGAATGGGACAGAAAGTTGATAGCCTCTTTTCTTCTACTCAACCCTTAAGTCTTGGTGCATCTCAAGCATCATCCTTGGCATTTTCTACCACTCATACTCCATGCTAAGCCAAGAAAAAGCTCCACACCAGTGGTTCGTTGAGGATTCTCACATCTGTATCTGCAGCCCAGCCTCTTCTGGCTAGCTGAAGACCAGACCAGACAGTACATCAAATTGCCCTTTGATGTTTCAGAAGCACCACAAACTCACCATATTCCAACTGAGTCCACTAAACTCTACCCACCTGCCCCTCTTATTACATTCCAAACACTGGTGAGTAATCCTGCCACCCAAGATCAAGTGCTGACAGTTTGCTGGGACCGGACCTTTTCTCTTCACTCTTAAATTAGTCACTAAACAAATCCTTTCCTATCCATCCCTATAGAAAATAATTCACTTCTCATCTAGATTTCTTCAAAATTCTTCTAACTCCTCACTTTGCCTCTAGTTTTGACCCTTCTTACCTACCCTCCATGGAACTGATCTAATAAAATCTCTATGGCTCCAAACTGCCTGTGCAGCAGGCATTTGCCATGGAGGGTCCAGCTTCCCTAGCAGGACACACAGCCCAGCCTCTCAAGGTCTGTGTCCCACGCCATCTCCCTCCTACCTTTTCACTAACCACACCAAACATTTAGCAGTTCCTCAAATGCTCCAGGCTGCTCTGCAGTCTACCTGTGATCAGATGCTCCCTCTTCCAGAAAGTCAAACCTTGACCCACGCCCTTGCCTAGCATTTGCCTAATAGACAGCTATCTGCCAAAATTCATCTCAAGCATCACCTCTTCTAGAGTCTTTCTGGAAACCCCCAAATTCACGCAGAATCAATCACTTCCTCTTTCTGCCTGTGCCCAACTTAGCATGTATTTCCTGGGGCACCACACTGTGTAGGTTGACTCATCCACCTTCTCTTAATATAGCTCTGCATCTTCAACATATTGGCATGACTGAGGTCTTAGAACTGGAAGTGAAATCTATGCACCTCTTCCCAGAAACATTATATGAGCCTGATATTTTGAATACAATTCTAACAGCTTCATAGATCCCCTAGAAAGCTTGCCAAGCAAAAGAGTTAAGAGCCCTTGTGTTAGGCCACAGGTCAGCACATTTTTTTCTTAAAGAGTCAGATAGCATATATTTTATGCCTGTCAGGTCATAAGGTCTCCGTCACACTACTTAATGCTGCTGCCATTGTACCTCAAAAGCAGCCATTAAACAATATTTTTTTAAAGTGGGCCTGGCTATGTTTTAACAAAGCCTTATTTATGAAAATGGGCTAGAGTCTGGATTTAGCCTGCCAACCGCTGTTTTAGATAATAATTTCTATAGGAGAAACAAACTTGTTTCCATATCCCCAGCCTCATACAATGTCTGGCACATAATAGACACTGAAATGTTTGTTAAATGAGTAAATTTGGTCATTGGTTTTTAAAAATAATAAAAGTGGATATTTCCAGGAAGGAGAACATTGGGAAAGGCGGGACTAAGGCAGAGAACAGCCCAGTGGACTTGGATGTCCACTGAGTATGTAAAGAGTATAGAAGAGGCCAGGAGTTCCCAGCCTGCTGGCTGGGAGATACGTTATTCTTTAATTTAATATAGAAACTAAGATGTCTTGGATTAGTGTCAAGTCAACAAATACTCAATAAGCACTGATTATTTCTCGTGGAATTATATGCTTTAGCAATACACTTTAAATCTGTTCTCTCTTGCCAAGTACTTGACAAATTCACTTGACCAAATCTCGTTTGGAATATAAAATTTCTGGCAATCAGTGAAACAATCCTATGCAGAGAGTGCCAAGACAGGGGATGTATATGAAATGACTTTGTTTTAGATGGTATAGAACCCTCCCCTGTCATTGCCCATCACTTGGGAATATGTTAGAATCTAAATCCTTGGTCCCCTACAGCAGACTTCACAGCCTGTTTTGACAAGGTCTCCAAGGGATCCCAATTCCCTGGGTAGACTGGGAATTACTTCTCTGGGGTTTATGTTGGCTGCCAGCAGTAGCCGGTCCCAGAGTCCCCTGCCAGTCTTCCTTGATCCCGGAATCGGATATAATCATGGGCCCCCTGACACAAGGGAAATGACAGCAAAGAACCTTCTGTTTTCTAGAAGTTTCTCCAGAACATAACTGGAGCTGAGAAGTATTTTATTGGCTTACAATACCAGCAAGCAGAGAAAAGGTGGCGTTGGATCAACAACTCCATTTTCAACGGCAAGTATGTAAACATTTCACATTTTCCTAGGGATCTTTGTTTGGCTCAAGAGTCTAGACCTGAGATTCGGTGGGTTTGTCCTGGATGACACGAAGGCTGGGACCTACATCTTTCCTCTCCATCTTTCCTTGTTCTCTTCCTCTCCTTTCTTCCAACCCATCTATTCCCAGAGACACATTTTTCTGTAAATGCTTTACTATTGTGGAACATATCAAACATTTCTAAGTAGAGCGAAGAATATTCCTGTAACAAATTATTTTATGTTTTCAATTTTTTTTAATCAGGATCCAAATATATCTCGTAAGTCTCTCATGCTATAGCTCATAAGTCTTTTTTAACCCACAGATAACATTTTATTACTAGGTTCTTACAAGTTCCCCAGATGTGACTTCTTTATCTAAAAGAAAGGAAATCATAAACAATTTGCCTGCACCTTATATCTATGAATGTTAACTCCCAAGAGCTATCTCCCATCTGCCCTGACATGGACAGAGCACTGGTGGACAACATGACACTGCAGTGTACGTCAGGAGAGGTTGAGTCAGACAGAAAGCAAGTCAGCCCTCCAGCCTGTAAGTGGGCATCCTGCAGAGGAGAGGAAATGCATATTCACTGTCCACTATGTGCCAGGCCCTTTACACATGTCATTTCTGTAGTATTAACAGTGATGCTGTAGAGAAAGCTTTTATTAATCCTCATTTAATAGGCAGTTGACTGGAGGATGAGAGACTTAAAAATGTGTCAAATGTCACCAAGCTGAGAATGGGTGGAGCCACAATTTGATGCCATATCCATTTGATTCTCAAACTCTTGACCTTTCCATGAAACCAGACTCTTTCCAGTCAAACTGGAAGGGACTAAATGATAGAAAAAGAGGTGGGAGACGTCCAACCAAGTGTTTCCTAAAGCTGCCTGCTGCCCAGAAAGGAAAGAGAAATCTCTTCCTCCCCCTGTCAGGCCTCCCGCTGTGCTCACAGTACCTTCAGTACAAGAATATTATTTCTGGGGGGAAATGGGACAGATGACCCATGAGATGTTTCTGACCAAACACAGAGTGAATTAATCCAAGGCTGTGAGTCCAGAAAAGCTCACAGGAGAGTTCACATGAAAGTTAGAGATGAACTTGGGACCTAAGAGAACTGAAATCAGGAAAAAACAGGGCTAGCATGATGGGTTGTAACCACACGATCTTTTCCCCTTTAGTGTCACCAATCAGCTTCCAAGTTTCAACTGTGTGACCATGGGCCTAACAAAGACATTTGATGCTGCATTGTGTGACACCCAACACCGGTGGATCTGTGACAAGCCCACCAAATGACTGTTCTCTGTGGTCTCTGACAAGAACAAGAAATACACCTATGAGGACAGCAGAAGAAAATACCAAACATCAAATTACTGTGCTGTCTCCCACAGGTTATGGGCAGAGCTTCCTAATGAATCCTCAGAGTGGACGCACAGGCCCTTCCACAAATTAACTTGCATAGACACAGCTGAGGTGCACTCCCGACTCTGACCCAGCAATTCCTCAAGATCCCATTTCCTGGGACAGTCACACCTGTGATTCTTTTTGGACCCGAACGGGTCATTGAGTCAAAGCCCCCTTCATCCATCTGTAAACTGGAACAGGTCCTGGACTGTTGGTGGGGGGAATGGGCTTCTGAACTCCACCTTGGGGGATTGGAGACCAGCCATATCCAGGGAAGAGGGTCGGTTTTATAGGGGCACCTCAGGTGGTATTAAGTCGGGTGTGTTTCTATAGAACTGAGCATCTCTGATGAGTCAACAGTGTTTCTCCTGCTACCTCTGTGACCTCATCTGTTCCCAAGAGGCCCCTGTCCCATGACCCCAGCCCACCCTAGGTGGGACAGCACAGGCCCTCCTCAGCCTGAATTGAGGCCAGAGCTGGGGAAGGGCTCCTAGAGCCAGGCTTGGAGCAGAGAAAGCACTGTTCCAGGGGAGAAGAAGGGGTCCAGGCAGGCAGGAATCTGCTAGGAAACTCCTTTTAAGACAACCAGTGGCCAAGATGACTGAATTCCTGTTCTCTAGCAAAGTCCTAAGAGAGATTCAAGCTAAAAACCTTCTTGGTCTTGACCTGAATGTTCACTTTAACAGATTATATTTGATTATATCTGATTATAACATATTCTATTTGTTATATCCTATTTGATCCTATTTCTTGTGTATATTTTAAGAAACTGGGATCATCTCTTAGGCCTTAGTGATCACATATTCCTCCTTGCAGTTCCGTAGAGACTCGGCTATCGGGGACAGCCTACTGATCCAAAGACACCACGGCCATGCACTGGTTGGCATCACCCTGGCCCTGGACAGGTCCAGCTGATCAAGAAGTAGAAAAAGTGGAGGGATAGGCCCTGGCTGGTGTAGCTCAGTGGATTGAGTGTGGGTCTTCAAACAAAGGGTCACCGGTTCAATTCCCAGTCAGAGCATATGGCTAGGTTGCAGGCCAGTGGTATGCAAGATGGGGGGCATGCAAGATGCAACCACACATTGATGTTTCTTTCCCTCTCTTTCTCCTTCCCTTCCCCTCTCTCTAAAAATAAATAAATTAAATCTTTAAAACAGAAAAAGGGGAGGGATGCTCAAGAAAACATTGGATAGAGGCAAGGAGTGGGCATTTGGGGAAAAGGGACACCAGGGACAAATGGAAATCATATGGGAAAAAAACAATGAGTTCACTTGGCAAGACAGGAAGGAAGGCAAGAAAGAGGCAGAAGAGTTGTAGGGCATCCTCTCTCTTCTCCATACTCGAAAGATGACTTTCGAGTCATCTTTGGCTACACACCCTCCTCAGTGCATGGCATGAAGAAAAGAGATGCCGTGGGTTTTCAGTGACAAGAAGTAAATCATAGGAGAGACTTACAAAATTAACGGAGATTATAGTCGCCTAAGTAAAATGCTTACCATTTATTTACATCAAATGACAAAGTGTCATAATGGTTCTGTCATTAGATGGGTGTTGAATTAAAGTGTCAGTTTTATTTTTATTACACCACTAAGTTCTGTTCCTGTATTTCTATGCTTCATGATTTTTTATTAATTAGCATGCCACTTATTCATAATTTTAAAACATGAGATGATGCATTGGGTATTAGGATTTGCTTGAAGGAGATTGCCAGAAATAATTCAAGTTTGGGGTAGAGCGGACATTGGAATTATATCAGTAATCTGATGGTATTAGCAAAGAAGAGTGTCACAGCTAGGGAAGGGAAGAGGAGCTGAGTTTGTGGTAAAAAAAAAAAAAAAAGAATAAGCAGAATTCTAACCAAAGGTAATCCCCAGAATTCAGACTACAGAGAAGAAAAAACAACCATTCTGCTTTGAAAAGGCAGAACTGTGGTTGCCACACTTCCTATTCTATGACAGAGTAAATTGCAGACTTTCAGAGTCTGGAAATGTAGACACCCAGTGATTTTTCCAGGTGACAGACAGCTCAAATTTTCCCCAAGATGAACAAGTGTTCTGCACAGTTCTGAAAGGGGCCTCGTGGGCTGGACTGGGGTGCGGGTAGGGAGTACAAAGGAAATGTGAGGACCAGAAGTTTATTACTGAGGGACAGGGGTGGCCAGATAATTTGAAGAATAGATCAATGTCACTTCATAGGGTAGCAGTGGGGTGGTTTTTAAAAAAAAGCAATGGAAATCTAATACACCATTGGATTAGATTTCTGATTTTGTGTCCAATATGCAATGTGAATCTGCAATTCCTTATCCTTCCTGTGCCTTAATTTCCTTACTGTTTTAACAGACAAGTAATGCCCTTCATACAAAATGCTTGTGTCATTTAAAATGCTTAAATGATCCCCACCATGGACCTCAATGGCAATAACAACAGGGGAAGCCCTTCATGGAAGATTTGTGGCTGAGATCTTTCTCTTAGAAGTGGCTCTTCGATTTGCTTTTTCACTCTCTTGATGGTGTCCTTTGATGCACAAAAGGTTTTACTTTTGATAAAGTCCAATTTACCTATTTTTTCCTTTTGTTTCCCATGTTTTTGGTGTCATATCCATTAAATCATTGCCAAATACAGTGTCATGAAGCAGTTCCCCTATGATCTCCTCTGAGAATTTTATAGTTTTACCTCTTATATCTAGATCTTTGATCTATTTTGAGCTCATTTTTGTATATGGTATAAGATAAGAATCCAAATCCATTCTTCTGCTTGTGGATATCCAGTTTCTCCAGGTGCTGACTTTTTAAACTTTCAGGATTGAAAGCAATGTTCTCTCCGATTTTTTTCCTTCTTGAATCTAGTTATAAGCACGTATCCAGATGATAGAAGCAACAGACTATAACAATCTAAGAAAAGTGCAATGTATAAAGTTACCCTTTTTTAGACATTCATGATCTTATGCTTTTGGATAAAAGTTAGACATTGTGGTAGATGATATTATTGTTCACAAATTCACTGTCCCTCCCAGAAGGAGGAGAACCCTTTCTTACCCTGCTGACAGCAGGCTTGGCCTTGTCACTTGGTTTGGCCAATGAAATCTGACCACGGTTTACCCCACTCTGTCCCCCCGTCCCATTAGGGATGGGGCTCCCCCTGTTAACCTGGACTATACTAAAGACCATCAGGAGCAGAGGGACACTGACCATGATGGACCAATACTGAGAAAACAATACGCACTGGTTATTGTGAGCTACAGGGATTTCTGAGGTTATCATTATAACAAAACCTAGACTATCCTGATACAAGAGTGAATAACGAGTAGTTCAGATGAAGACAGACAATTAGCATTGCACAATGCGGCAATGTGGGCTATTCAGCACAGTGGTTAAGAAGATGAACTCTGAAGCCAGACTGCGTAGGTTTGGGTCCTACATACTAACAGTGTGACCTTGGGCAAGTCCCTTCCTGGCTTTGTGCCACATTGATATTCTTCTTCAGCTCCCAGCTTTTATGTTACGTTCTAAAAATATTTCCCAAAATGTTTTGATTTTTAGAGGAGGCTCCACTTACTAAATATCTTCCTGTCAGAGAAATATATGTATATATCAATACATAAGCAGGTATTTCTGTGTAACAGAAGTAATAAATACATTAGTTCATAAATAAAAGATAAGAGGTTAAATTACTACGTTTCTAAGACATGAAGAAAGGCAACTATTTTATTTGTGCAGGCAAGACACACACAGCCACACACCGGGAACAGCCAGGCTCCCTTCCCCATTCCGTGGGCCCAATCCCCCACTAGATTCTTGCCACGCTGTCGACATGCAAATATAAGCACACACAAGTATAAACGTGCAGCAGGTCCTCCTCATTTTGTGGCAAAGTTGCCATAGAAATTGAATTCTCATGTATATCATTACACTCACAATAAAACTGGTTTTATAACACATCATTTTGCCAATTTTAAGAGCCTATCAACAACGTTCAGTGAGGACTCACTGTACATCTGTTTCCACTCTCTCCTTACACAGAAGGCTGAATACTAACTTCAGTGAGCTTTGCTTTTCTCGTTTAACAATATAGCTTGGAGGTCATTTCTAGTCATTGAAAACAGAGCTTCTTTATTCTTTTTATAGCTACACAATATTCCATTGTTCAGATAAAACATGTTTCTTTAACCAACCACCTATGCATATTCCACTCAGCTATCAGTATTTTGTTATTACAGAAATGTGGTAGTGGGTAAAATTGTGCTTATGACATAGCAATGGAAATGTTAACTGGAAACAGGGTGGGTCAAGGTTGGGAAACACAGGAAACCAACATGGGGACAGCTCAGTGGAAAGCTGGGTCACAGCAGGGTAAACTCTGGGATGCTGAGGGGGCAGAGGAAAAGGAGAACTAAGCAATGCCCTGGAGAACCAGAGCCGCAGGCTCTGTCACCAAGAGGAGACAGGACAGGAAGCCACAGACCATGAATAGACTGGAGAATGTGAGAACTGCAGGGAGAGGCAGCAGAGCCTGCCCCTGCTTTTGCCCCCAGTGCACGCCCCCTCAGCCCAGAGAGCCCGCCCACCCTTGTCACTTCAGCCCCACAGCTGCTCCACTGCCCCCCTTCCACCCCGTGGCAGGCAGCATGGTCTGGATGCTACTGAGTGAGAGAACACTTCCTGCCTCTCTCTCCCTGAGGCAGTCCACAAGTTACAGGTGTGTTGGTGTTTAAAAACCAGCCACCCTGGTGCTGTAAAGGCGTCTGGAATTGTGAAATGACTTCCTTCTCTACACTCTGTGGAGAAGAAACGAGGCCCCAGGGCGTTCGGACAGGAAATCAAGAGAATACGTTTGAGCCAGACAAGGAGCAGGGAGATTTACATGCAGGACACAAAGAGCGGGACACGTCCTAGGAAAATGCTCAAAACCTGTAATTAAGTAGGCAGCTAGCCTTTTCTGTTCAGAAATCTAAATAGCACACATATTTTTTACACTTAGTTTTTAAGTTTTACTGTGAACTGTACCATAACTTGAAAAATCATATATTTATATGTGTACGAATACAGGACTGGGCAAATTAGGTTTTATACTTGTAAGTACCTGAAACACGGAGTTCATTCTTGTATTATTATTTACTAGTTTTGTATTATTTTCCATATGAACAACTGTAAACCTGCTTTTGATCCACCCTGTATATGTATGTGTGTGTGTATATATCTTTAAGATAATAAAATAAGTTTTTGAGCTACCAAACAACCACATGAAAACCATGGCGATGACTTGTTAGACTCATGTTGCACACAGACGATTTGATGATGACAAGATGCAGCTCAGAGATGAATAAGTACTTTTCAGATTATTCCTGGCTCCATGATGAGAGTTTTCCCACACAAAATGGCTTAGGGGAAGGCCAGATCCTGAGTAGCTCACAGCATCATTTCACTCCATCCCAAAGGGCCTCTTTGACTCTGTTGTTTCGGAGGGTGAAGATGAAAGGGTTCAGGAAAGGGGTTACCACAGAAATCAGCAGGGAAACTATCTTATTGTACTCAGCTGCTTGCGTTTGCTTGGGTGTCACATAGAGGAACAGGCAGCTGCCGTAGCCGATCACCACACAGGTGATGTGGGAGGCACACGTGGAGAAGGCTTTCCTGCGGCCGGAGGCTGAGGGGATCTTGAGGATGGTGGAGATGATGTAAGTGTAGGAGACAACTGTTGGTGCCAGAGAACCCAAAAGAACAAAAACAGCCATTAAAAAGGGAATGAACTCTACGAAAATAGTATTATTGGAAAAGAGTTTGAGCAGTTGCCCTCAGTCACATAAAAAATGGTCTAGCATGTTTGCTTTGCAGAATAAGCTGAGACGTGGCACAGACTGGCCAGATTTCACAAAGGAACCCAAACACCCACGACACACTTACCAGCCAGCTGCAGGTGTGGCTGTTCATAATGATGTTGTACCTCAAAGGGTTACAGACAGCCACGTAACGGTCCACAGCCATGACTCCCAGTAATGCAAACTCCGTTGTCCCCAAAGAAAGGTACAGGAAGAGCTGGGCAATGCATCCTGCCAGAGATATTGTCTGCCTCCCGGGGAGCAGCAAGCCCCAGAGCATGATGGGGACGATGACGGATGTGATCAGGATCTCCAAGGCAGAGAGGTGGCTGAGGAAGAAATACATGGGGGACTGCAGACGCTTATCCACACAGACCACCGCGATGATGACCGTGTTTCCCATGAATGTCACCGAGTAGAAAAAGAGGAAGGCAGCAAAGAGCATGTGATGCAGTCCTTGGGAGCCAGGGAAGCCAAGGAGACAAAATTCAGTGGCACTAGAGTAATTGCTCATCATTCAGTCTCAGCTCCTGTTCCCTATGAAATAAGTCTAAAGAGCATTCCAATCACTCAGAGCTTTCTTCCGAGAGACTTTTTGCTGCTGCTCTCCTGGCCTCATCTTCACGGCCTTCTCCTGCTCACAGACCAAGCACAAAACCCTTGCTCCCCCTCCCCTCTTCTCAAGTGATGCATTCCTGACTTCTGGGCTTGGGAACTTGGTTTGGAGTAAAAGAATCACCCCATCATCCCCAGAATCCCACAGCAACAACTCTGCCTCAGACTTTATGAATATAAAATACATTTTATTATGGTGCTATTAGGTTAAGATGTGTTCTTAACCTTGTAACCTGAAGGACCCTGCTAAAAGAGTATTTTATGAAGTATTTGCCATTAATTTTCTAAAGACGTTTCTCCTTGGTGATTATTCTTCTAAATGGTACCGCTGAAGGTAGAGTCTGAGAGTTAGAACCTCAGGGATGTTCACCTAAGTTTTGCAGTGACTTGTTAGGTACGTTAGACCAAGTAATTCAGCATCCAAAATCTCATTAGAATGGCAAGATAGGCTGTCTTGAAAATTGGCAGAAAAACCTGTCCTAGTGAGATGGATCCTTAGATATGCTGGTCCCCTTACATTTTCTCTTGATTTGACAGGGCCCGTAAGTATATGGAAGGCCATGTGAAAAATTCTAGGATGGTGTTGGCATGTGAAGAAGAATGTGCCCTGGATAGACCAGCTTGCTGAATGGGATTCTTGGACCAGGTTCATAGTGTCTCCCTAAAAATGCAAAGGTCAGCATTGACTTCTGTTCTTTATCTGACCAGTTGATGGGGAACATCGCAGGGAGATGACTCACATGAAACTGTTCACTACTCCTCTGCCGAAGTGGCCTAAACTGCCTTCAGGAATTTAGTACAGTGGGTCGTTCTGCTTCCCATACTCGTACTTCATCTGCCTCCTGGTTAATAAAAGAAGAGTGTAAAGTATCCACTGTGCTCCTGATATTGAGAATACATTTTATGTTGAATAAGGTCATTCTCTGACATAACAAGGATACCATTATCACATGAGAAAATTAACATCACTGCAGTAACATAAAATGTATAGTCTGTATTAAATTTTCTAAAATACCTTTATAGCTTTTTAAAAACCCAAAGATCTTATCAAGGTTCCTGAATTGCATTTGATTATTTTTTTGTTTTCATTGATCACATTTCCTTTGATCATTTTTATCTTTTTATTTTTTAAATGCCATTTTCTTTTTAAAATTTTCAATGACAGTTGACTTACAATATTACACTCGTTTCTAGTGTACAACATAGTGATTACACATTTATACGCCTTACAAAGTAGTCGCCCTGATAGGTCTCATATTCATTTGACACCATAAATAGTTATTACAACATTACTGACTGTATTCCTTATGCTGTATATTATATCCCTGTGACTATCTTTATAACTGGCAATTTGTACTTCTTTATCCCTTCCAACCTTTTCCCCCATTCCTCCAGTCCCCCTCTCATCTGGCAACCTATATTGTTCTTTGTATCTATGAGTTTTTTTGTTTTGTTTGCTCATGTATTTTGTTTTTTTTAAGATTCCTTATATAGGTGAAATATGTGGTATTTATCTTTCTGTCTCACTTATTTCACTTATCATAATATTATCTAGGTCAATTCATATTATCATAAAAGGCAAAATTTCATTCTCTTTATGGCTGATTATTTGTGGGACACTGTATGTGTTCCACATCTTCATCCATTTCCTCACTTGGTCCATTTGTTGTAGATGGACACACAGGTTGCTTCCATGTCTTGGATATTGTAAGTAATGCTGCAATGAACATGAGGTGTTTCAGATTTGTTCCAAAGGATTGTTATCTTCTTCAATTTTTTTCTTCAGTGTCTTATAAATTTCCAAGCAGAGGTCTTTTTCCTCTTTGGTAAAATTTATTCCTAGGTATTTTTTTGATGCAATTGAAAATGGGATTGATTTCTTAATATCTCTTTCTGATAGTTTATTATTGGTATATAAAATTCAACTGATTTCTAGACATTAATTTTGTATGCTGCTACTTTACCAAATTCATTTATCAGATCTAACAGTTTTTTGGTGGAATCTTTAGGGTTCTCTCTATACAATATCGTTTGCAAATGATGAGTTTTACTTTTTCCTTTCCAATGCGAATGCCTTTTTATTTTTGTGGTCTGATTGCTGTGATCAAGACTTCCAACACCAGGTTGAGTGAAAGTGGACATCCTTGTCTTGTTCTTCATCTTCCAGAAAAAAAGCTTTCAGCTTTTCACCATTGAATATGTTAACTATGGGTTTCCCACTTATGGCCTTTGTTATGTTGAGGTATGTTCCCTCTGCGTCCCCTTTGCTGAGAAGTTTTATCATAAATAGATGTTGGATACTGTCAAATACTTTTTCTGCACCTATTGATAGGATTTTTATCCTTAATTTGATTTAGGTGGTATATTGCATTAACCAATTTACAGATAGGGAAACAAACTTGCATTCCCCTAAAAAATTCCTCTTAATCATGTTGTATGGTCTTTTTAAAGTATTGCTGAACTCAGTTTGCTAATATTTTGTTGAGAATTTTTGCATTGGTGTTCATCAGGGATATTGGCCTATAATTTTTATTTTTTTAGGGTCTTTGGTTTTGGTATCAGGGTAATGTAAAGTTAGTTCAGCCATGGCTGGTGTAGCTCAGTGGATTGAGCATAGGCCTGTGAAGCAAAGGGTCGCTGGTTTGATTCCCAGTCAGGGCACATGCCTGGGTTGCAGGCCAAGTCCCCAGTAGGGGACACATGAGAGTCAACCACACATTAATGTTTCTCTCCCACTCTTTCTCCTTCCCTTCCCCTCTCTCTAAAAATAAATAAATAAATAAAATATTTTTTTAAAAAGTTAGTTCAGAAGGCTTCCCTTCTCTTTAAATTTTTGGAATAGCTTGAGAAAAATAGGTATTAATTCTTCTTTGAATGTTTGGTAAAATTCACCTGTGAAGCCATCTGGTCCAGGATTTGTGGCATGTTTGTTGAGGGGTTTTTGATTACTGATTCAATTTCATTAGTAATTATCATTCTGTTTCTGATTCAGTCATGGAAGATTGTATATTTCTAGGAATTTATCCATGTATTCCAGTCTGTCCAATTTGTTGTCACACAATTGTTGTAGTATTTTATTATAATCCTTTGTATTTCTGTAGTGTTGCTGGTCACTTCTCCTCTTTCATTTCTGAATTATTTATTTAGGCCCTTTATCTTTTTTCTTGATGAATCTGGCTAAAGGTTTATCAATTTTGTTTATCTTTTCAAAGAACCAGCTCTTGGTTTTATTAATCTCTTATATTGTTTTTTAGTCTCTATTTCATTTATTTTTGCTCTGATTTTTACTATTTTTCTCCCTTCTATTCACTTCATTCTTTGCTCTTCTTCTTTTCCAAGTTTCTTTAGGTGTAAGGTTAGATTGTTTATTTGAGATTTTTCTTGTGTTCTGAGGTAGGCCTGTATGGCTAAGAATTTCCCTCTTAGAACTGCTCTGGCTGTGTCCCATAGATTTGGGGTCATCGTGCTTTCATTTGTCTCAAGATATATTCTGATATCCTCTTTGATCTTATTAACCCATTCATTGTTTAATAGATTGTTCTTTAGCCTCTACATGTTTTTCAGTTTTCTTCTTGTAATTGATTTCCAATTTCATACCATCGTGATTGAAGAACATGATTAATTTCAATCTTCTTAAATTGTAGACTTGTTTTGTGGTCTAACATGTGGTCTAATGTGGAAAATATTCCAGATGCACTAGAAAAAATGTATATTCTGCTGCTCTTGGATGAAATAGTCTAAAAATATCTATTAAGTCCATCTGGCTTAATGTATCATAGAAGGCCACTGTTTCCTTATTGATTTTATGTCTGGAATATCTATTAATATCAATGGGGTATCAAAGTTTCCTATTAGGGTACTGCTGCTGATCTCTTCCTTTATGTCTTTCAATATTTGCTTTTATGAATTTAGGTGCTCCTGCATTAGGTGCATGGATGTTCACAAGCTATGTCCTCTTTATCATTACTAAATCCCCTTGTTCTCTTGTTACAGCCTTTGTTTTAAAGTCTATTTTGTCTGATATTAGTATTGTTACCCCAGCATTTTTGTTTCCATTTTCATGAAGTATATTTTTCCATCCCTTCACTATCAGTCTCTGTGTGTCTTTCAGTCTGAAGTGGGTCTCTCGTAGGCAGCATGTATATGGGTCTTGATTTTTATGCACTCAGCCACCATATGTCATTTGATTGGAGGATGTGGCTTATTTACATTTAAAATAATTGTTGATAGTGCATACTTATTGCCATTTAATTGTTTGCTGATTGTGTTTGTAATTCTGTTCCTTTCTTATTGTCCTGTATGTTGATGACTTTTTACAGCATTATTTTTGGATTTCTATCATTTTACTTTTAGTAGATTTCTGACAGATTTTTGGCCTGTGGTTACCATGTGATTTATAGAGCATCAAGGGGACCACAGTGGATGTGATCAGGGTTTCTAGGACAGAGAGGTAGCCAAGGAGAAAATGCACAGGGGGCTGCAGATGTTTATCAACCCAGTCATGATGATGAGGTTTCCCATTCCTGTCACTAAGTAGAAATAGAAGAAGGTACAAATAAGATATGGCAGAATGCTTGGGAGCCAAGGGAGCCTAAGAGATAAAATTCAGTGACACTGGGGTGATTTGCCAACATTTATTTCTGAGTGCTTGTTCCTTATTATATCTAGCGAGCAAGAGAGAGCTAACTCTGCTTCTGATGTCAAGTGGAGTAGAAACAATTCCAGGTACAGAAACAGTATCTTTCCCTCCTGTTCACGGGCTCTACAACATGACTAGGAAGGGCCTGTGTTCGAATGTCTCCCCCATGTGGTCAATGCTATCTTTTTAAGAATATACACAATACATGAAGAAAACAACCTGGCCAAGAAAGAGCCCAGTCACCAAAGTGCCATCTCATAAGC